TTCTTTTCAGGACAAGATCTCGGCACAAAATCATGTGAAATCACAGTGCCTCCAATGGTCGCTGTATTCCCACATGGAAAAACAGTATGTCCTGGTTTTTCCAGGACATTGGGCCATCCGTGCCCCTAGTATTGGGTCATTGGGTGTGGCGTTTAACAAACTGAAGGGGCAATGATCACACTGGGATTTCTCCAGAGGGTGATAATGGAATAGGTTTTAGCCAAGTGGCGCGGAACTTGGCACATAAAACGGCTTGATGACCCGGCTGACAAGCACAAATAGTAGCCTCGTGGCTGATAAAAAATATTCCAATAAATCATTTCATTTCTCATTTCATTTCCATTATATATCATGAATGGATATATAATGAATTGAAAAAGATGTTCAAAATAACTTTTATAAAAAACAAAACAAAAACCAGAAGCTTTTCTTTGGGGAATTATAGGGACAGAACTACCTAAATTGTATAGAATTTTATTTATGTATGCTACAACAGCAGCAAGAATGGTACTTGCCCCAAAATGGAAAGAAGCAGAAGTCTCAGCAAAGGAAGAATGGATACAAAAACTTATGGAATATGCAGAAATGGTGAAACTTACCAGAAGAATAAGAACTCAAGATAGCAAACTCTTTATAAAAGAATGGAAATGGCTTGTTGAATATTTGCAGATAAACTGTAGACGGATAAAAACATTAGCAGGATTATTGTAATAACCTGCAGTTTTATAAGAGTATATATTTGCAGTCGATAACCAAATGGGTAAATTAAATGAATTTGGATACGCATAAGATATGAAAAAATAAATTTAAGGAACTGGAGAAAGAGGGGGAAATTTTGAAATGTTAAATTAATTAAATGTATAAATTTGAAAAGTATAAGTAAAAAACTAAATAATAAAAAATACAATAAAACTAAAGAATTGACTGCTTGCTGCCTTTGAATGGGATCTTAAACATTGCGTGTTTGCAGGCCACCTCACACAACCTCACGGTAGGACCAGATCTGGTAGAGATCACAGTTCCCACCAGACACACATAGGGCCAATGTAAGTACAGTGGTACCTCGGGTTAAGAACTTAATTCGTTCTGGAGGTCCATTCTTAACCTGAAACTGTTCTTAACCTGAAGCACCACTTTAGCTAATGGGGCCTCCTACTGCCACTGCACCGCCAGAGCACGATTTCTGTTCTCATCCTAAAGCAAAGTTTTTAACCCAAAGTAATATTTCTGGGTTAGTGGAGTCTGCAACCTGAAGTGTCTGTAACCTGAAGCATCTGTAACCCGAGGTATCACTGTACTTAGCTTCTTTTGACGGTTGCCAGGACCCACTGCTGTTGCCCCCCAATCAATTATTTAAATTGGGGGTACAATGGAAGGAGAGAGGGTTAAACCATTGAATGGAGAACCTACAGCCCTCTAGAGCAGGGGTCAGCAAGCTTTACCGGCCATGGGCCAGATCACTCCCACAGAGATTGTCTGTGGGCCGGACTGGCGCAGCGCAATGCCAAAAATCGTGTCTGCGCACATCCGTGGCACCAGAAATCACTTCTGCGCATGCCCCTACGCCAAAAATTGCGCCTGCGCAGAAGCGATTTTCGGTGTCAGGACATGCGCAGACGCGATTTCCGGCACCACTCAGCGAGTCCCCGCGCTGCGCTGCTTTAGCGCAGTGCGCAGGGGACTTGCCAAGCGGGTGGCTCGGTTTGCGGATGGCTTGTGGGCTGGTAAAACGGTCTTCATGGGCCACATCCTGCCAATGGGCCGCACGTTGCCGAATCCCTGCTGTAGAGGTTGCTAGCCTCCAGCTTCCCTGGCTGCGCTAGCTACGGCTATTGGAAGTTTCAATGGAACGGACTCCCTTGGAAGGTGGTGGACCCTCCTTCCTTGGAGGTCTCCAAGCAGAGGTTGGATGGCCATCTGTGTGGATGCTTTAGCTGAGATTCCTGCATTGCAGGGGGTTGGACTAGATGACCCTCAGGGTCTCTTCCAACTCTACAACTCCATGATTCTATCTGGGGGGCCATACGCTACTGAGCCCAGAGTTAAACCCTGACACTCACAGTACCGGCCCTCCAAGAGGATCAACCTTCTCCACTTCCACCACAAAAGGAGTAGGCTAATAATAATAACAATAATCGGTGTATGAATAGCCCACAGAAAGCTCGTTTTTAAAAATGCTTTAGAAAAGTGTGGGCCCCCCTCCTCCATAACTGATGTGGAGGAAGGGAAAGGCTTGAAGAAGATTCATCATGTGTTTGTTATTGCTTTATAAAAAAAAAAAAAAGCCTGAGAAATTTGGACTGTCTGAAAATAACGTTTTTAAGGAAATAAAATAAATGCCCTTTTTGTGTGTGTGTGTGTGTGTTTAGAAGATACATGGTTCTAAATTAATGCCATAATGTATGGATGCCGATTTTAATAACACTTTTAAGAAATGGAGGATTGGTTGAGTTGCAATATGTGCATAATTCTCTCTGTGTTTATTTGTTTATTTTTTAAAAGAAGCCATAACTTCTTATCTGCAAACCCTTTCTTTTCATCCTTGATGTGTTTGACAGGGTTGGGTAGGAAAACACTCTGCACATGCTCTGTGACGTTCTTCTTTTATTATTTTTCACACACTTTGGTGCTGTGTTTAAGAACTGAAAAGCAAGTTGGTGGACAGTCAGAATGCAGGTGGGGATTTTTAATAACAGTTGAAGTCAGGAACATTTTATTTTTATTAATGCTGTTAATATGCACTCATTTGTTCCACCCATGATATTCTGAAAACAGCATTCAAGTGCAATCCTAGACACATCTATTTAGATGTTCAGTGGGACTTGCCACCAGGAAAATGTTACAGAATTACAGAAATTCAGAATACAGACCACAGAATTTTTTTGCCCAGGATCAATCTTTGTTTTTTAAGGAAATTTTTATAGTATGCAGCTTTCTTTTTAGCAGAAAAGAGATAAAACCCGACACTATAGGAACGTTCACTCATCGTTTAGTATTGCAATAAATATAGGGCTCGTCCGGGATTTGAACCCGGGACCTCTCGCACCCTAAGCGAGAATCATACCCCTAGACCAACGAGCCAGCTGTAATCATTGGGTTCGTAAAAAGTTTATCTAGCAACCTCTGTCACTATGTGCCACGTGGAATTGTAGGACATTGAGCATCTTGTTGGCTTCTATGACTGATCAGCGCCATCTAGCGGTAGAGGACTGTTACTTTCTATATTCGGAATAATTGTTGAATGGTTGTACTGTATAAAAAATGCAGACTATATAGTTCAAAACTTTTTCGGCTCAAGCCCGCATCTTTCCCATACATATTGATCCTGCACTTAAGAGAAAGACTTCGTTTTTTCCTGTAATGCTTATTTTATCTTATTTTCTTAATCTAGGAAGACACCAGTATATAGCTACACTTGGCCAAAGCCTCCACCAACCTCACTTTGTGATTCTTACCGCCCCGATGTGCCTTTTCAAATAAGAGAAGCTACCCTTTGCTTGTGAAAGGTCTCCTTGAAGAGATGTGTGCAGCAAACAGGCTGAAATCCAACCAGTGGTGTTTCCCCCTAGTAAGCTGGTGCAGCGACAGGATTTGCACCAGGATCAGAGACTGAATGCCCTGGAAATCTAGCTGCTGGGAATTGCAACTGGGGAGTGTGCTGTTGCTCTCAGGTCTTGCTTTCAGGTTTGGCCACTTTGAGAAACAGGATGCTGGACTGAATGGGCTTTTACTTTTTTATTCTGAATATTTTATTTCATTTCGAGATTCAAAATTACACTTTGTCACTCAACATTTATAATCCCATATCCAATACACAAAACTTTAAAATGTTTTTAATTGCCTACCAGCGGTGCATCCAATAGATAAATCTGTTAAGGTCAAGACTGCCAGAGTTTCATAGCTGTGAGGTTTGTGGGTGGGGAAGAAATGGAACTTTCAAATTCTGGTATGTTAAGGCTAGACTGAGCATGAAGCTCTTAACCTGTACTTCTCCTGAACCTCACAGACATAGAGAGATGGTCTCATACCCACCATGAAGCAGCGGGGAATAAATCTAGGGAGAAAGCCTAGAACTACCAGGATGAGATGATCCAGTGGATCTCCAGCTGAGCTGAGAGGTTCCTGGCACACAGCTAGGCGTATCCTGGCTGAACTGGGATCCAGCTGGCTGAGCCAAGGCTGGTGGATTTTAAACTGCATGTGGCACGGAGGACTTAGACCAGATCCTAAGCCTATTTAGCATGGTCATGTGACTTGTTACCATGGTGCAAGGTAAGCTGGAAAAAAGGGTGGCCTAACTCAAACTCAGGGGACGCAGATGGCGCTGTGGGTTAAACCACAGAGCCTAGGACTTGCCAATCAGAAGGTTGGCGGTTTGAATCCCCGCAACGGGGTGAGCTCCCGTTGCTTGGTCCCTGCCCCTGCCAACCTAGCAGTTCGAAAGCATCAAAGTGCAAGTAGATAAATAGGTACCGCTCCGGCGGGAAGGTAAATGGCATTTCCGTGCGCTGCTCTGGTTCACCAGATGCGGCTTAACGTGCGCTGCTCTGGTTCGCCAGAAGCGGCTTAGTCATGCTGGCCACATGACCCGGAAGCTGTACGCCGGCTCCCTCGGCCAGTAAAGCGAGATGAGCGCCACAACCCCAGAGTCGGTCACGACTGGACCTAATGGTCAGGGGTCCCTTTACCTTTAACTCAAACTCTTGTTTGCCCTCTGCCAGGCTTAGGCCAGCTCAGCCAGCAATATTATTATTATTATTATTATTATTATTATTATTATTTGAATTTATATACCGACCTATACCCGGGGGTCTCAGGGCAGTATATAAAACCACAAGATACCTAATAAAAATAAAACAATAGCCCTGTCTCCTGAATGGAGTCTGGATCTGGTGTACTTTACCCCAGCTTCACATTTGGCCAGCTTCTTGTGTATAAGATTCCTATTCCTCAAGGTAGGGGACTCAATTTGTGAAAACTTGGTGCGAGATTCTCCTTCCGTCCGTCTTACTGCAGGGCTGCCCACAGTGAATTGATCCAACAAAAAAACCCACAAAGCAAAGCACGTCAGATCTGTTCATTCCAGCTTTTATTATTTACTCACGTCGTTTTAATAATTAAAACAGGGAGGCCCATTCATTCATTTAAATAAAACAAAGAAAGTGCAGAATGCTCTACAAAAATATATAGATATATTTATATATCATTTCCAATCCTTCAGAACCGCTGAACGGATATAAATCATTGTGTCCTTCATACCAGAGTTCCTCTTTGCCTCATCAAGCATCTACAGGGTTTGGGGGGGGGCAGTTTCCTGGTCCGTGGACTGATATTGCTAATAAAATAATTAAAAATAGAGAGACAAGGAAGAGGCCTTTCAAGCAGAAACCAGGGAGGAAGTATTGAGCGCAGTCAGCAAAGGAGGACAGCAGCTGTACCTGAGTTCATGTATCGCTATTTGTGGAAATCAAGCCCATCTGGGATTGGACAGCTCCCAGATTAACACGGGGCCAGTGAAACCAACTTTTAAAGCAGCCCACATGCAGAGATGTAAGATATCAAAAGCTCATCTGTGCTGGCTTCTGCTCTGCAGGACCAAGGGCTGTGGGCAACTTTTCATCTGGGCCTTAAAACAGGAATTTGACGTGAGATGGGAGGGTTGGGATCTGGAGTTAGTCCTACTCAGAGTAGACTCACTGGAAATAATGGACAGGACAAAGTGAGGCCCGACAAGTCATCCAAACTGGATGACAGGTTTTAAGTTCCATGCTGCAAAAATTCTGTGGTGTCGGGTAAAGCTTACCAAAACCAGGCATATGGGAACCTATGGCCCTCCAGATGTTGTCAAACACCAGCTCCTCCCCACCCAGTCCTAGTTCAAATGGTCAGGGATGATGGGAGTTGTAGTCCAAGAGCATCTGGAGGCCGACAGATTCCCCACACCGAGTATGCAAATTTACTTTTGCCAACTACAAATCCCATCAGCCTCTGCTGGCCGGGGTTGATGGGAGTTGTAGTCCAAAACATCTGGAGTACACCAGGCTGGTGCAAGCAACACAGGAAAGCAATTGACTCCTGCTACGGGAACAACTCTCTCTCAAACCAGAAACAGCAGCTGGGGTGTTCGCTACTATGCCAATACAGCAAAGCCATTGCCAAAAGGGCCCTGGGCAAGTCTTGGCAGGGGCGGAAAGAGTAAGTGATTTATTTTGGCCTCTGTGGTGTTAGCACTATGTTTGTTCGCTCGCTCACACACACCCCTCACAAGCCGCTCTACGAGGCCCTCTAGTCATCCGCTCCAGTTTAAAAACTGCTCTGGTGTCACTGAGATGTGAATAACAGCAAGCCCGAAATGAGGACCACTCCAGCCTGGAACGCGAAAGGAGAGATAAAGGGATCGCCTTCTCTAACACCACGCTGCCGCAAATCTGTGTGGCAAGGCACAAGCAAAGCTCTGAATGCAGCCAAATTCAGACGTACTACGGGGCTACAGTATACATTCACAAGTACTCGGATTCCTCAGCATGGAGGCTGCCAGCGACCAGGAGGATCCTTGATCCCAGCACCAAAAGAACATGTGCATGTGTGTGTGTGTGTGACATTGTCACCCTCTAGATTAGAAGCTGGTTTGTCTCAAAGCCAAGATGTCCAGCGTTCAGAGAACGGTCTCAGAACCCCATCGCTTGCAGCAGGGTTGCAATGGTCCAACCATGTTCTCCACCGCAGAATGATTTTTTTTTGGGGGGGGGGGAGAATATCCATGGGTCAATCCCATGTGTCATGGCAGGAAATCGATCATCCATTCCCACACTACCACTGGCCACTTCCAGTGGAAATCCAGATGGGAATGTTTGTTGGGTTTTGGAGGCCAAAAAAAAGGAGTTGACAGAGAAACGTACACAATGTTGCTCCTTTGGTTCCTAGAGGGGTGGCAACATAAAACCAACCCCATTCACTTAATAATATTTTCATTTAAAAAAGGCTGGAGATGGGTACAGAGACAGCAGGACCTTGGGAGTAATTTGTCACAAAGGGGTAGGGGTGGCAAAGCTGTTTCAGGCTTCTGTCGCTGAATGCTCCTCTGTGCAAACTAATAAAAAATAAAAAATTATCGTTGCATATAGAAAACTAGCAGGTCAGGATTCTAGGCCAGCTAGCTCCTTGATGAGCTAGCTTTCCACATGCAGGGATTGTTTACGCATGGAGGGGCATTCTGTGGTGTCAGCTGCGCATCTGCTGTTTCAAGCTGATCCAAACACAAGCTTGCTACCCCAATCTGCTGCTCTTTGTGAGATTGAGGCCTTGGTGGTTTATTGTGCGCGGATGAACCCAGGTTCTGAGTAATTCATTGGATATCTAGAGTCCAAACGTTAGCCACCTTTGGGGCTGATATGTTGGGGACAAAGCAAGACCGGTTGCCCCTTAATGTGTTCCGAGTGAACAAAAGTTCCTTACCATCTCCATCCATAAAGCCCTTCTAGAGGAAGCCGAGAAGAGGCAACAGTTATGGAGAGGCAAAGAGTCTTCAAACAGACGAACAAGGGGACTAAATGAAGACACACACACAAACACACACATATCCTGGAAGGAGAAATGGCCATTGCTTGATCTGAGGGGAAGTACTGATCTCTGAGGGGGACAAAGAAGCCATTTCCTAGCAAACTTAAGAGCCTGCAGGGTCAGGCCAAAGGCCCATCGAGTTCAACCAGAAATCCTACAAAGGATGCCTCAAGGCAAAGTGAGCATCCTGACATCCAAGGGACTGAAATCCTGGCTTTCACGATCAAGCGAGCAGCACAGTATTAGCTAGGTTCTACCTGAGGAACCTGCTGACGAGAGAGCGGCCATTTTGAAACGGAGGCTTTCAGGGTTTCAGAAGCCCGCTCTCTGTAACTCAACCTTTAAAAAGCGAAGTGCCATGAAAGAGGTAAATTAGTAAGAGGCCCGTAAGATCAAAGACGACCGGAACTGGCAACCTTATTCCCGCCCTGGCAGGGATTACGAGGAGGGAAACCTAAGAGCTGTACACAAAATCCTGAAATACGAGGGGAGAGACGAGAGAAAGACTCACACTCAAACACACAAAGATGGACCGGCACAGTCTCAGAGGCTAGAGATCAGAAACACAAACAGAGGCGCAGCCCTTGGGCGTCCAGAGACGGTCAAGGTACTGCAGCGGAACGACGTTTCCAACTACCGTCTGGACAGTAGAGGACTCAGCAGCAGGATTCGACAAAGGAAGAATATTTCGGGGGGGCAGGGAGGACGGGGCAGTCGCCATGCTCTCCTCGCCTGGTCCGTGCACGATCCTCCATCACAAGACGGCAAGCAGGGTGTGGTCTCCCACTTGGCAAGACGTTGCTGGTGAGAGATCGGCAGGGGGGCCGGCGCAAACTGCGCCACTAGGCCAAGTTGTTGTTGCGCTCAATGCGCTGCACCATCAGGGAGACCAGTTTCTCGAGCGTGCGGGCGCTCTGGCGGCTGGCCTCCAGCACTTCGGCGTGGTTGGCCTTCTCTGTGCTCTCATAGTCGAGGACGGCCTTGTTCGTGATGAGGGAGAAACCGAAGACGCGCATGCCGGAATGGCGGGCAACGATCACCTCAGGGACGGTGCTCATGCCTGAGGGGAAAATAAAGCGGGGCGGTTGAGAAGTTAGAGCAGGGGCGGAAAATAATTTTCAGCCAGAGGGCCGCAACTGCATCTGGGCAGAGTTCTGAGGGCCACATTGAGAGGCCTGAGGGCCACGTATGGCTCCCAGGCCTGAAGTTCCCCACCCCTGGGTTGGAGCAATAAAACTCAGGGGTCTTGCATCAGAGGCGGGCACCCAGTGGCCCTCCTGATGTTATTGGATTCCAGCTCGCATCAGCCCCCTGGCAGGTTGGTCAGGGATGATGGGAACTGTAGTCCAACAACACCAGGGGGGGATTTAAATATGTGGGTGCATTAGGTCATGCCAGCGCACCCCAACTTGCGCTCTGCACAGCCCTGCCCTAGAGAGGGCTTTCCCACACCATTTGATGCAGCTCTAAGTAAAACTGCACCTGCTTAATTGTTGTCTGTTTCATGGGTAAGGGGGTCACAGAAATGGTTGCCCATGGCAAACACAAGTATAGGCTCTGCTACCCCATGGGACACGGGTGGCGCTGTGGGTTAAACCACAGAGCCTAGGACTTGCCGATCAGAAGGTCGGTGGTTCGAATCCCCATGACGGGGTGAGCTCCCATTGCTCAGTCCCTGCTCCTGCCCACCTAGCAGTTTGAAAGCACGTCAAAGTGCAAGTAGATAAATAGGAACCGCTCCGGCGGGAAGGTAAACGGTGTTTCCGTGCGCTGCTCTGGTTTGCCAGAAGCGGCTTAGTCATGCTGGCTACATGACCCGGAAGCTGTACGTCGGCTCCCTCGGCCAATAAAGCGAGATGAGCGCCGCAACCCCAGAGTCGGCCACGACTGGACCTAGTGGTCAGGGGTCCCTTTACATTTACCCCATGTTAGAGGCAGCCAAGAGCATGGGGTGGCAAAGAATGTCTCCTTTCAAAATGGCACAACGTACCTCTCCCCTCCCCAGCCCCCTTCACTCTGCCCCCAACTGACCCACAGCGTCAGCGCCCAGGCGCTGAAGGAAGCGGCATTCGGCGATGGTCTCGTAGTTGGGACCCCCCAAGGCGCAATAGACTCCCTCGCGCACCGACCCGGAGCAGCCCATCTCCGACGCGACCGTGTGGGCCAGTTTCCTCAAGTCTTCATTGTAGGCATCCGACATGGCCGGGAAACGTACCCCAAACCTGTGGACAAGGGGAGGGAGGAGAAGGAACATTAAAAAAATAACTAGAGCCTGCTGGATCAAGCCAATGGCCCATCTAGTCCACCATCTTGTTGTCACAGCAGCCAACCACTGTGCACAGCGGCTGGGGACTGAGCCTAGAATTTCCTGCACGAGAGCATGAGCTCTACCCATTGGGCTATGCTGCCTCCCAAACAGCCTGACTTGTTGTGAGCGGGAGCAGCGCTGGGCGAGTTAAAAGCCCATCCTCTGGAAGGGAAGCTCAAACAGATGGACTTGGAGGACCACCACCCCTATGTTCCTATGAAGGCAAGGGTGGGCAACCTGCAAGGCTCCAGATATTGCTGGACTTCAGCTCCCATGATCCCTGGCCATGGGCCATGCTGACTGGAGGCTGCTGGGAGTTGGAGTCCAGCAGCATTGGGCGGCTCTCAAGTTCTCCACAACCACCATAATAGAGGAAAAGGGAGCCTCTAGAGCAATGTTTCTCAACCTTTGGTCTCCAGCTGTTTTTGGAATACAACTCCCATCATCCCTAGCTAGCAAGACCAGTGTCAGGAATGATGGGAATTGTAGTCCGAAAACACTGCTCTAGAGTCTAACTGAGGCCAACCTGTTGCATCTCACGGAGGAAGGACGAGAGCCCCGCCTTACCTGTCGTCATTCGGCCCTACCAGGGGGTTCTGCCCAGCAAAGCCCGGCATGTTGATGTGGTCGCGGATCACCATGATGTCCCCCACTTTGTATTCAGGGTTGAGCCCCCCAGCCGCGTTGGTGACAATGAGGGTCTCAACGCCGAGCAGACGGAAGATCCGGACCGGGAAGGTCACCTGGGAGGGAGGGAAAGAAGCAGCACTCAGGAGAGGTAGAAGGGCGCTTTGGGACCAGCCATGGCTGGTGCCCATTGGAGCCCATACAGTAGGTGGAGCTGGAGTCAGTGACAGGTGGGGACCAACAAATTCTAGCAACTTATGTACGGTCTGCATATAGACACAGACTTTCTTTGGATAAATGTGATATTTGGAACAATTTTACACAGAATATATTAGGTTATTGATAAAGATAATTGTACTAGGATAATTATACATATCTGTATATTAATGTATGGAAATGGTATTGAGTATTTTTCTTTTATTTCTATTTTCATTCACACTTTTCTTCTTTATAAATGAAATTCTAATAAAGCAGTAATACACACACACACAAATTCTAGCTTCATCTGCATCCTCCTCTCCGCTGAGTTCCTCAAGCCCAGTACTGTGATGTCAGGGGAAGACGCTGGCAGGTAGCGCCAGCCCTCCTGCATTCAGTGCAATTCTCCCACAACAGCCCTGCAAAGTGGGCTAGGATGAGGCCAACACTGGTTCAAAGTCACCCAGCTGAGCAGGGATTTGAAATCGGACCTTACGCCCAGTCCTAAGCCAAAACTCTTCCCCTTCAGCTCTCAGTTCTTCTTGCACTCTGCACATGCCCAAGAAACCATGAAACAGGGATTGATAAGGCTAAATTTTGGCTGAATTTCGTGGAACCGCCTTCACCCGTCATCCCATTCCCAGATGTGTTGGGCCAGTGAAGACGAAGAGGACCTTTGCATAGGCTCAGAGGCACTATCTTCTTTATCATTGTCCGTTACTATTGACCATCCTGCTCCTGGAATTGTAATCAGCTGGACACCTCTCGAGTTTCGAAAGGTTTGCAGCTCTGTGGAGCGACTCACCTTCCAGAGCGGGTACCCTTCATACATGTGGAAGCGCCCTTGCATCACCACACTTGGAGTTCCACTGAGGCTCCCAAACACCAACCTTCCGGCATGGCCGACAACTGGAATGAGGCAAGCAAAGTGTTAAAGGACTCGCTGCTGCCCCCTATGGGCCACGGGGTTGTACAGTAGCGCCTCCCAGCTGCTGCTTACTAGCACCCCCTAGTGGCTGCCATACACTATATCCAACCCCATCCCTGGTTCCTCCATCACCCGTTCCATGGGTTTTTTACCTGTGCTCTCAGGGAAGTTGGGAATTTTGCCATACTCAAAGGCCACTTGATCTTTCAGGAGGTCAGCCAGCCCTCCGAGGCCCGAGCCGCAGATGATGGCGACCCTGGGCCGGAGCTTTGTGTGGGCCAGCAGCCAGTCGGCCGTCCGCTTGCAGTCTTCGTACGTGTACCTGAGAAAAAGAGATGAACATATACACATGGTTGGCCGGGCTGGGGTTTGCAGGGCAGATGTCCTGCCACTAGGGGGCAGCAACCAAACACACAAAGTGAGAAACAGATTACGGTAATCCTGAAGCTTTGCCAAGTACAAACATCAGCCATGAAGCTTACCGGGTCAACTTGGGCCAGTCACTAACTCTCAGTCTGCCCTACCTTTGCAGGGTTGTTGTGAGGCTAAGGTGGGATGGGTCAGGAGGAAAAGGATGTACATGCTGCACTAAGCTCTTGGGGGGAAAGCAGGGCCGGATTTAGGTTTCATGAGGCCCTAAGCTACTGAAGGTAATGGGGCCCTTTATATGTCCAGCTGTCCTTTGCCAACAACAAACTGTCACTGTTTTTTGTATTGAATATATGCTATAAGGTAATTTATGGACCTAATAGGTATCTTAAGCCATTTGCACATAACAAAATAGGAGCCTACACAACACAAAACACTGTTGCTGTATGTAGGTTTTATTTTATTTGTTTTTTATCTTATATTTTGGAAATGTACATCCAGGTTTTTTTCCCTTTAATCTTTTTGGGGGGCCCCAAGAGAGTGGGGCCCTAATCTATAGCTTGTTTAGCTTATACGTAAATCCGGCACTGGAGAAAAGAGATAAAGTGAAGTAAAATAAATTAACTGGTGCCCCCTTCAAAACTATTTCTTTTCCATGGGAGAAACACAAACCAAACCATTCCTAATTGTTAATTATTAATCTGCATTTGCATTAATTCATAATCCATTTGCATACTGCATGCTTGAGGCACCTCGCCTACATAACTCTAGGGATCCCTCCAATAGAAGGTAGAGCAATATTTATCACCACGTACAAAACACACAGAGGGCACCAAGTTGGGCATGGCTGCAGACCAATTTTTTTTTATGGATTGACATACTATGTTTGCATCCCATCCTTCCTCAGAGGAGGACAGAATGCCACAACTGGCCAGATAGATAGATAGATCACACACATACTGCACAACAGCCCTGTGGGGTAGGCTATGCTGAGAAAATATCAACTCGGGTCTCCCCAGCCCTCCTCATCCAAAAGTCATAACCACTACAGTGGTACCTTGAGTTACAAACGCTTCAGGTTACAAACTCCGCTAACCTGAAAGAGTTGAGAACTTTGCCCCAGGATGAGAACAGAAATCGTGTGCTGGCGGCGCAGCAGCAGCAAGAGGTCCCATTAGCGAAAGCAGGCCTCTAGTTAAGAACAGTTTCGGGTTAAGAATGGACCTCCGGAACAAATTAAGTTCGTAACTGAGGTACCACTGTACATTGTTCCAGCTCTCGTACTGGTGTGAGATTTCAACTTGAAACACCGTGGCTCACTGTTCCAGCCACGAGGCCACCTTGGTTTCAAAAATGAAAACGCCGTTGATCAATTTACTTGCACGTTTACCTTTTGCTTTCAGATATCCTTTTCACGAAGTTTTCTGCAACTGTCCTCCCAAACTCCATTTCAAAAAAAACTAAACAACTCTCAAGAATGCCCAGTGCTTCTATCGTTTCTCATGTTCCCATTGTGAATTTGGCGAATTTGGTGGTGCCCTTGGTAATACCCACCAAATAGTCCCCACTTTTTGGAGAATATATAGTTCCTTCCTCTGATCCAAATGCAGATCTTGGGCTGCCATACTATAATCTAAAGGGAGTTCCATTTTAGCTGGCAGTGCCAGCCTCTTCCAAATATGCCAATGAAACTCCACGCAAATCACATCTTCCTCTGCCGACTCCGACGCCCTTCCCCTCAGGCCATTCCTGCAAATTAAGCTGCACCACAATAGCTTTGAAAAAATTCCAGTTGGCGAACCGGCCAGGTTGCAGTTTCCTTTGTAGCTTTCCATTGCAGGAGACAACCTGCAAACAGAACTCTCCGAAGATAAACCTTCCCTGAATTTTAACCTCCGGGGGAACATTTTGGCTGCATCAGCTGATGTTTCCTAGGGAGAAGTGGGGCTGCGTGCTTGTGACACCCTAATTCTTAGCAGAGACAATGAACCTGTGACCCTCCCTGCCCGATGGTCAAGCTAGCTGGGGTTGATGGGAGCTGTAGTCCAACAATTTCTGGAGGGCCACAGGTTCAAATCTGTCCCAGTCACACAAACACCACTTTGGGCACCCTCTTCAGAGCAGTTACATCCTTTTGCAGCAAAAAAAAACAACACCCTTGTGGCACCTTACAGACTAACCATTTTAATTATGGCATAAGATTTGAGGACCACAGTTCCGAACCATTGATTTTCCCTTCTAGGGATCCTGAACATCTGCGTAAGAAAAGTGAACTTCCATGCCTTTCTGTGTGCATACAGGATGGAAATCACCTGTGGTGATGGAAAAGGTCTGTGCCGGTACATTACTCCCTTCTCTACAACACTGGAAACATACTAGGATTCTCTCTGGGCCCAATCCTGGCAACCTGAGCCTAAGGCCACGGGAAGAGACCTGGGTTTCTACCTCCAGCCCCTGGCAGCAGCTGGGCCAGGAAGCCACTTAAACAGAACCAAAAATGAGGAAAGACCCTCCTGAAACCTGCAAGAGTCCTGGAGCTGTGTCAAAGGACCAGGGAGCCTGGGGAAAGGGTTCAAAGACAAGTGAAAATCCATGTGCCTTGCTCCTTGACGTCACCTCCTAATCTGCTTGGTTAAACCTATTTAAAAGCCTTTTTGGTGCTGGCAGGACTTCTCAGCGCCACCCACCAAGCCTTAGGACAAAGCTGCAGAAAGAACACACACAGCTGCTTCAGAAGAACGGTGCCTCCAGGGAGAGATGCCGAGGGGGGCAGATAAGATCCTTGGGCCAGAAAATGCAATAAATAAATAAATATAATACATAACACCTATCAAACTAAAAAGGACAGGTGCCCCGCTCACTTTTCACCATAAGCTTCAACCCGCTTTTGGGATCCCTCTTGGCTTGGGAGATCTGCATCCCCAACCCTTATGATGCCATCTTGTTGTCGTTTTAGGGGTTCATCCCCCAAAACTTTACTGAGCTAACAGGGAACAACAGCACACAGAGGGAGAGAGAAAGAGACAAAGAGACAAGGTGACTGATACTTTGAGCATCATATGAAAGGACTAAGCAAACGAAAAGGTTTCTCTTAACAACTCCCAGCGCCAGACTTGCCCGAGGACACTGTTACGCCTTTTATACAGTAATATGTTTTTCTGTCTGCTCAGCGGGTTAATACACTATTTGGGCAGAAACACTTCGCAGGTTGGCAATCGTCTGGCTTCTCCCGAGATCTCGTATAAATCTTTCGCCCTCCGCAGACGCCCAATAAAGTGGGAAGCCTAATGGATGGCGGAAGATCCTTTCTCTGAAGAGGCAGACTTCCATGGGGCTCCTGCCAAAGACTAACTGCGTCATCATCTACGCACACAATGGTGCCGCTCATTTATGAACCAGTTTTGTTTTGTTTGTTTTTAAAGGCACACATTGGCCCCAGTGCAGATCTTGGAAAGACTCTGCTTCTTTCTTCCACCTGTGCATTTACCGTCTCTTTGTGAGGGAAACTGAAGTTTTCCCTTCACACCATCCTATGAAGGCAGGTGAGGGGCATCTCACAGCACAGGCAACCATCCTCCTAAGGGTACGGTAGGAGAATCCCACAGGCAAGAGAGATGCTTGCACAGGGCGCCTCTGAAATTTGAAAGACCAAAGTCTGCCTCTGTATCACCTCCCAAAAGGACCAGCAACCTTTGTCTCCTCTTCTCCTCAAAGTCTCTCTGCTCTGGGTGGTCATTGCAGGAATACTGGTCATTAAGAAACAGTGCCTGGAGTTTTGGTTTTTCCCCTTTTTCCTCCCCAACCCTTTCCTTTTTGTGTCAGGTCTCAGGTTCTAAGCCCCCCTTCTGCAGATAACTCAAGAGCACCACTGCTCTAATGGCTAAAAACACTCAAAATCTTTTATTTTGCTGCCTCTTATTACCTGCTATATATATATTCCTATTCCTTTTTAACGCCAAATGATATTCTCACCCAAACCACAGTCAGCCGCAGCCAAAACTTCCCACTGACACTCAGCAAAGAAAAACCTGAAATAAACACATGGCTGTACTTGAGGCCTAATGAACTGTAATGATAATTTATTTGTTTTTTTAATTATCTGGGGCCCCATCTCCACTACACATTTAAAGTAGTGTCACTCCACTTTGCTTAGTCATGGATCCCACCAAAATAATCCTGGGAACTGTAGTTGGCAAAGGGTGCTGAGAGCTGTTAGAAGATCCCTTGTTCTTCTCAGAGAGAGACAATTCCCAGAGTTCCCTGGGAAGAAAGTTTGACAGCTAAACCACGGAATCCTGCCTGCCTGATCCAAAACCTGGAATCCTCAGCATTCCCGAGGCATCTAGAGCAAGAAGCAGGTTCAGGCTGGGACACAACCCCAAAACAGACGGGAGTTCTCCAAACAAGATTTCATCAGGCAAGGTCAGACACAGGCCACATTCCCGGGCAGATTTCTCAGGAGAACTCTCCTCCCCGGCATGTTCCTTCTCGTTACTATTAAAGGCACAGAAACCAGACAGAAAAATTGGCAACCCAACAGAACATCCATGGCAGGGGCTCCTGGAAGCCACACTGAGTGTGTGGTGAAGGGACAATGACTAAGTGTGGGTCAGAGATATTTCCCCCTTTCTTTATAATTTAATATGAACAATGTGTCCCAGGAGGCCACAGTGATGCTCTGCCCGTGGTCACAAACAGATCTTCTCACATGTTCCTGCAAAGCCGCATGGGATTTAGGGGCCATCTAAGCTGCTCTGTACACACGTATCCATTTCGATGTATTCAAACGGGGTTTAAATTACAGGCCGGCCTTATCGTCCCACTTAGAAAGCCAAGCAGCGCAGGAACACCTGCCTCATACAGTGACATTTAGCCCCCAAATAAGGAGAACTGAACCCTGATCCACACACACGCAGCAAAATAAGACTATTGAGGATGGGCCAAACCATTTTAGGTCACACCGTATATTTCAACCACATTTATAGCATTTTAACAGTCACGGCTTCCCCCAAAGAATCCTGGGAGCTGTAGTTTAACCCCTCAAAGAGCTCCAGGTCCCAGCACCCTTAACGAAATACAATTCCCAGGATCCTTTGAGGGGGAGCTATGACTGTTAAAGTAGTATGATAGAGTTTTAAATGTACGGTGTGAACTTAGACTGCAGGTGACACCTGATGAGAGGGGCAGAGCTAGACCCTTTATTTACAGCAAGTGCCCCCTTCCCCAACTCTTTTTAACCTTTCAGGGAACAGCTTCTGCAATTCCAGGAATGTCGTGGGAAAACCAGGACCCTTGAAGTGTATGCTATTCTTCCAGCTGATTCCCCTGTATTACTTAGATGGGCTCCCTTTTCTTCTCCTCTGGAGTCGGCTGGTGGAGTTGCATGAAAGGAGCCCAATCTGAATGGACTCTACTTGCAGAAAGTCACGTAGAACCATTGTCAGGGACACCCAAAGGGTTTCATCCAAGTCCAACCCACTGCTGTGGAGGAATCACAGCTAGAGAATCCCTGGCAGGCAGCGAAGGAAAAGTCCAGCACCTTCAACTCAGCTGACTCATAGGTTTGTACAGTAACAACAACAACAAGCCCTTCTCAGCAATCATAAACGGAAAAGTGATTTGCAGCACGGCTTTCATGTAGAAACCTGGGGAAGGAGGAATGCAACAGGAAGTGATTGCCAACCGCATGTTACGTTTCCCCCACCGCTCTCATGTCTGTCCCTAACACAGTCATAAACAGTTCTCAAAAAGGATGTCTGCAATGTTTTCACGATACGTCACGTACAGGAGCAGCGCTGGGCTTTTGCAAAAGGAAATCCGGCGGGCCGGGGTATAGCGGGGGCAAAGTTGTGCTCATCACGTCTTGCGACTGATGTCTTCCCCCTGCTAAGGGCAGAGCATTTCCCCACCCGTTTAAACAGCTGACACACCACAGAGTATGGGGGGGGGGAGAGAGAGAGACTTGTGCCGGGAACCTGTAAAGATCCTGTGTGTGTTAGCTCCATCATCCTTGTCATTTCGGCTTACGAACTGACCGGTGGGGGGAGAACAAGAAAGTCTGTACTGTCCTTGTACCTTTCAGGGCAGTTTGATCTGCAGAGAAATCAGCACCGGACATATTTCAGGGCAGGGAGCTAAGTGCTATCACCTGCTTAGGATCTGCCACACTGTTAAAGGCAGAAGAGCACAGGCAGATTTAAAAAAAAAAAATTGTTGACAAACGGTGAGGCTGCAACACATCTGAGACAGAGGTGTCTCAGGAGAGGAAAAACCTTCATCTGCTTTGTGTTGCTTGGGAACATAAGAAGGAAGTTGTGTTACACTGAGTCTAGACTCTTGCTCCATCTAGTTCATTACCGTCTACAGAACACGGACTGGGAGAATTTCTCCAACATTTTAGGCAAGGGAATAATTTTCCCGCCCTTTTGCAGAAATGAACGGCCCGCTGTCAGCCACCGTGCTGCAGTGAGCTATGCAGAGGGATAGCAGGCTCTCGCCGAATAGCCATGTCCGATCATCACAGCCGTGTAATGAGATCAGGGTAATATAGGGCAGCCTTGAGGATAAAGGCAGATTAAAGCAAACACAGAAAAAGGAAGAAGGATAAACGCTTGATCTGGCTGTGACAGTTTGTAACTCTGGTTTATTGTCTTCCTCATAGGACTGCCAATCTGTTTTTATTTTCTGGCAGGGTTTCAGCTAAATAATGGAAATGGCATAGTCAAACCAAAAAAAGCTTCACCTGCTAAACAGCTGCCAGAAACACAGGTGCCCTGCTTGTGGGTAGAGGAAGGAATTGGCCAACCTTCTTGCTTGAATAAGTAAGCTGGGGGTGGGGAGGGATTTACTTGGCAGCCAGCTTTCCAAATCATACGTTTCCTTGGGTTTCTGAGCATGTGCAAAGTGTCTCTGATTAGCAGAGCGACTCCTGCAGGGAGAGAACAGGGCTAGCCTTGCAGAGCAGCAGCAGTGGGACATTCACTGCCATGGGAAGTGGCGGTGGGCTTTTTTCTTTAAAAAGGCTGTAGAAAGGGAAAGAGTGGTGGCTCAGTGGTAGAGCATCTGCTCCACATGCACAAGGTCGCAGGTTCGATCCCCAGCATCTCCAAGCGGGGATAGGAACGTCCCTAAGTCTGAAACTCAGCAGAGCCCTTGCCAGTCTGAGTATAGCCAGTGCAAGATGGACCAATGTTTTGAAGGCAGCTTCCTATGGTCCGGAGGGACGCGGGTGGTGCTGTGGGTTAAACCACAGAGCCTAGGACTTGCTGATCAGAAGGTCGGCTGTTCGAATCCCTGCAACGGGGTGAGCTCCCGTTGCTCAGTCCCTGCTCCTGCCAACCTAGCAGTTCGAAAGCACGTCAAAGTGCAAGTAGATAAATAGGTACCGCTTCGGCGGGAAGGTAAACGGCGTTTCCGTGCACTGCTCTGCTGGCCACATGACCCGGAAGCTGTACACCGGCTCCCTCAGCCAATAAAGCGAGATGAGAGCCGCAACCCCAGAGTCGGCCATGAATGGACCTAATGGTCAGGGGTCCCTTTACCTTTACCCTTTACCTTTCCTATGGTCCTAACCTGCTTCAGGCATCACCAAGGGGGAGAGATGGACAAAAGCAGGAGCTGGTGCCCAAATGGACCAGCACGTTTTTTCAAATGTCAACTCTAGTTAAGGTGTGTTAGTTAATGCCTTGGCCAACACTGAAGGGGAGGTCTAGGGGGCGATGGGGGTCTGCCTTTGGGATGGGGGCACCCCAGGGACTTCTGCATCCACCGCTTAGGCATAGCTGATTTCCCATTAACCTCAGGGCTGTTTCAACACAGAGACCTGCTCATCACTCAACTTCCCTCCCCAGTCTCTTTCCAGATTAATGACTGACAGAGGCTGGCTGCCGGCCGTGACTGATCCGCCCCTTTTGCGCACAAACTTGAAGCCTGAACACTCTGCTCCACACTGCAGGGTCATTGCCTCCTCTTTGGAAGGGAGTCAGAAGCAGGTGACGTGCTGCGTGGCCAGAATGAATCCAAACTACTCCAGAGAGCCTAAAGGGCTCCCCAGAAAATCCCGGGGTCTGTTAGATCTCAAAGTACACAACCAAAGGAAAGCACACAAATGTGCATTCCTGGTCACGCAGTGAGGAAGTCAGGTGGACCCACCGAAACATGCTGGAAACACCTGACCTCACCCCACACGTCCACAGCAACAGTCAATATCCCTTTGTCTCTTACACAATACAGAAAGCTCTGCTTCACCTGCTTGTTTACAACAGCCTGTTCCTGGACTTTGGGGGCAAGGACAACAGCAAACCAAACAGGCTCTGCACCTTACCAATCAGCTGCAAATCCTGTCAGGAACATTTTATGTCTGATTCTCAGCATATGCTCTATAAACGTACGACACCATCTCATCTCGTTGAAGCTAAGCAGGTCTGGTCAGTGCCTGGATGGGAGAGCACGAAGGAGATCCTGTGTGTGCTGCCAATCGCAATGGCAGAAAGGAAGGCTGTGTTAGAGCAGGGCTCTTGTTCAACCAGAGGGCTGGATTACCTGAGTGGAAAGCTGTCAAGGGCTGCTTTCCAGCAGTGAGTGCGGCCAGGCCCACTAAGGGGGGGAAATCCCTGGGGGACCCTAAGCCAGGCTCACGCACTCTTTCTTTCTTTCCCAATGTAGCCTATTTTATGGGGTTGTTGTGAGGTTGATCCCCTCCCCCTCTTTCCTTTTTCCTTTCTCCTTCTGTGATGGAACTCCTATTTGGGGACTTCCCTGGCTCTCTTCTGGCCCACGTAGGACCAGTCTGGATAGTTGCCCTTGGTGAGGATTTGACGTTTTCATCCCCAAAAAAGTTTTTGATTTGAGTTTCTACTGAAATGAGGCTGCATTTTAATGTTGTATTTTAATCTTGTTTTTAAGTTGTATTTTAATCAATTGTGTTTATACCTGGTGTTAGCCGCCCTGAGCCCGGTCTTGGCTGGGGAGGGTGGGGTATAAATAAATTTTATTATTATTATTATTATTATTATTATTATTGAGGAGGGAGAGCCACAGTGGGGGGGGGAGGGGGCAACCAATAGATTTCTGGAGACGCAGCAGAAAAGAAGCTAGCATGCTGGGAACATTTTTTCCCCAAAAGGCATTCCCGAAATCTCACCACAAAGGCATAGAACCATAGCAAGAGTCAGATCAATGGCCCGTGAAGCTCAGTTTGTTGCCAGGGGCTGTCTCTACAGAATGGGGGAAATGGGAATATCCATGCCTGGCTGGTTACAGAACAAGCCTCGAGAGCACTGGGAGGAAAGAGGAGGCAGTGGGTTCAGACTGAGGGCATCAGAAAGGGGAGGGAAATGTGGGGTCAGAGAACAAAAAAAAATTGCAGGAAGTTATGTCTTCACATCAGGACTCAGTGCCTTTGCATCATCATTTTGCTTTGGAAGGGAGGGGGAGGAAAGGGGTTGCGGCAGTATCTCTGGCTTCTGATTGGCCTCTCCGCAGGAGGGGTGTGTGAGCCAGGGAAGCTCCTCGTTGGCCGCCTGCCTGTGATGCAATTGAAAGGGGAGGGGGAAGCCAGAGAGCCCAGCAGGAAATCGTGCCATTGCACAGCAGAGAGAGGATGCAAATGCCGAGATCGGGAAGCTTCCCGTGCTTGCTCAATGGAGCAAAGCAGTCCTTCGCCATGACTGTAACTGCAATGCCATCCTTGCCCAGGACATTAGTCATGCTCCGGTTTCAAGTTGAGCAGGAAGGAGCAGGAACGTGGGGTATTGTTCCTGCTCCAACGGGGCTGGCATTACACACTGTATCTTTGCGTCAGCACCACTCCTGCTGCCCTCATTGTCTGCTTTGGATAGTTGGAGGGCAGTGAGAGTATGCTGAGCATGGGTGGACCTTTGGTCTAATCCAACAAGCCTGTTCTTAGCAAGAAGAGATGAATGCCAGGAGGACCCAGTTTATGAGCAAATAATAGCCATTGTTCCCTCCAATAGGAAACCCAGGTCACGGAGAACCCAGAGGGAGGTAGCATCAGCATGCAAGCCCAAGATATACAGAAATGCACAACATGGTTGAGCCACATAATATTGAATTTGTCATTTGGGAAACAGGAACTGGGGAGGAGGGAAGACTGAACTGGCCCACTTGAGTGTATTACTGCTTATGGAATCCTGGAGAAGTGAATGGATGGCACCCTGAAGAGGGTTAAGAATGTACTGCAGAATTTTGTTGCAGGTCCCACTTGTAAAGATCGTAAGAGCTAGATCAAACCAAAGGGCCGTTGGCGTGGCCAGTGGTGATGGGAGGTATTGTTCAATAGCATCTGTAGGGCTTCAGGTTGGGAGAAGGCTGTTCTCCTTTGCCTGCTAATGAAAACACAATGTTCCTGTGCCCACAGTTGGCACCCCAGGGAATCATAAGAACACAAGAACTGTTTTGCTGAATCCGGTCAGAACTGCACCTAGCAGGTCACACCCACCCACCAATATGGCTTTTCAGGCCTATGGGCTACTCACATGCAACTTCCTACACCATACGTGATTGACTCTGCAATGATGGAGGTGAGGCGGAAGCAAGACTGCAGCTGACGCAATCCACCGGAAAGACTGATGGGCACAAGTTCCAGCTCTTATCAGATGCAATGGAGCCAATCATTATCTCTCAGCCTCTAATCTTACAATGCATAAAATGAGTGTGCAGTAAGAAACTGCTACCGTACAGGGTTACTATGAACATGGTTGCAATCAGAGCAATGGGTTAGTCAGTCAACAGCTACAAGGAACAAGGAAGTGGCACACTCAAGGTTGAATGTACACGTACCATTTCCTAACTGCAACCTGTCAAACAGAAAGGAATTGGTTCCAGGTGGAGAAGGCTGGAAAAATAATTGTTTCCATTTCCTCTCTCCCTCTCGGCAAGTTTCTAGTCCTCAAGGCTAATTGGCAAGAGAGGTGAAATCTCAGAAGCTGGGAGGGGAAGGTGGACAAGAATCTGAGCAGGATTCTGTGGAAAAGGGAGTGGTGTTTCCATGACCTGCATAATTCTTTGCCCCTCCCATATGACAACAAGAAGTAGCATTTAACATGAGTAGGAAGCAAATATATTCAAAATCCTTCAAATGTGTAAATGAGTCATATTTCAGAATTCTTTATTTGCAGGGACAATGTTACTGCCTTTCAAAATTATCTGGAATATATATATAACCCTGCCTGATTTGTGCTGGAGAAACACCAGATAGATAATGAGCAATACATTGCCCACATTGTGTTTACACAGCATTAACTGCTGTCAAAACAGGTTTCCGCTTTAATGACTGTAACAACTACCGCGGGATCTCCCTGCTGAATACTGTGGGGGAAGCCTGTGCCTGCGTAGTTCTCAACAGATTGCAGTCACCTGCTGGCAGGGTCTACCTAAGTCACAATGAAGATTTAGAGCTCAGAGGTCCACAGTTGGCAGGATTTTCTCACTGCGTCAGCTGCAGGAGAAGTGCCAGGGGGAAAGGGCGCCACTTGTGCATCGCCTTCGTGGGTCTTACAAAGGCATTTGACCTCATCAGCCAAAAAGGACCCTCACACTGCTCCACAAGATAGGATGCCCACCAAAGGTCCACAAGATGATTGCGTCCTTCCAAGAGGACAAGCACAGCACCGTTAGGTATGACTGTTGATCCTTAGACGCCTTCCCTATAAAGAGCAGCGTTGTAAAACAGGGCTGTGTTCTTGCCCAGACTCTCTTTGGCATATTCCTCTCCCCAAGGCTCTCATATGCCTTCAGCTGAACTGAAGGTGGTGTGAACATTCATTCAAGGAGCAACGGGGGTCTGTTCAACCAGGCAAGCCTCCAAGATGGAGATCTACTAGGCTTGTGTGTTGAGCATGCTGCTTTATGGAAGTCAGTTGTAAGTAACTTAAAACTGTCAAGGAGCAATACCTCAACGCCTTCCACATGTACCGTGTCAAGTTTTTCTCCTCCAAGCTCACATTCCCATGTCTGCACTCCTATCCAAGTGACAGCTACGCTGACTTGGCCATGTCCACAGAATGGAAGATGGCAGGATGTGCCCCAAATATGTGCTTTATGGGGAGGGGGCTGGCTTCAGGCACTAGGCCTATAGGCAGATCAACTGTGTGTTACAAAGATGTCTGCAAACCAGAAGGGAAGGGTGGAAATATCAACCCCACCGTGTGGGAATCCCTTGCAGACAACCACAGGGCCTGGAGACTGTCAGATCATGTATCCACAGAGGAAAAATGACTGCTGGGAGCAGCACAGAAAGAAGGATCATCATGGTACATCTGCAGCAGCACAACCGGATGCCTTCATCTGCCCCAGCTGCAACAGAACTTGTCTCTCCTGCACTGGTCTCTACAGGTGTTGGCACTGCAACTCTCCAACTGATTTGACTTCACCCACAAAGGCACACTCCTCCATTGTGTTGCAGACGGATGCCAACGAACAACAACACTTACTGCTGTAGAAACAGGTTTCCACTTTAATGACTACTGCACAGACCTTCTGCGCAATCATAAACTCCATTATGCTGTTTCTTGTATGTTTAAGAATCACCACTCAAAAAAATAAGAACTGGTAGCGGCATTTTGAAGAATAAACCACAGGAAAGGCTATGGGGAAAGGGCACATCCAGATACTGAGGCCAAATTCTTTTTGCTGAACCCCTCTGTTTTCCCCATGTGTGCCATCCCTGATCAAGCTTACAATAATATAAACTCTACAAAACAGCACCCCTGGAAAGGACACACACCCCACCTTCCGGTCCCTCAGATCAGCAGTTTCCATCACCTTCGCCCTACCAAGCAGAGTCCAAAGAAAACTGGTTTCTTATTCAGCGACTATGACTAACAGGGTAGAAAACCTGTTAATCCATAAATAACGGTACATTCACCCAACACTCCACCCTCACTCACTGAAGACATTCTAGAAGTGAATTGAAGGTTGTGCAAAAGGAAAATGAGGTCTCCTTATTTATTAACAATGACTGGTAGAGAAGAAAACTAAACTAGTTGCCCCAAAGGGTGACAGAGCGTCCAATAATCTGTTTCCTTGTAGGACAATAACAGCCCTTACTGAGTCAGCAATATGTTGTTCTCCAATGGAAGAACTTCACATTTATTATTTATCTAATGGTTGCTCGTAAAATGTTGCAAGCTTACGGACCTTGCAAGACTCTTCAGCCATGGATTATTGGGTTTGTTTCTGGCACAAATTGTTGAACTTAGTATCCCTTCAAATCAAGAGGACTCTTAATCATGACTAGCTTCCCCCACTAATTTCAGTGGAACTGTGTCAGCTCCTCTTAAGTAAGCCAGCTTGTGCAATCCAGATAATATTTTACACTGACACCGTACAACTTTCTGTCGCATCCTCCGTGCTAAATTCTGGCCCCAACACTAAATGACGCAAATTGTACGTTTTGCATACGATCCAGGCTATATTAGTCACACTTTGGTTCCATGCAAATGACAACGTACTTGTCCCCCCCCCCCCCCCCGGGACTAAAGTGTGCCTCTCCTCATGGCGCAATTCTATACATGCCTGTAGGCGACTTCATTTCCAGAGTGCTCTGATGGTGTTTCCTGCTTGGCAGGGGGTTGGACTCGATGGCCCTTGTGGTCTCTTCCAACTCTATGATTCTATGATTCAGTCAGTTCACTGGGGACCAATTCCCAGGTCATTGGGTTCCTAAGGAAATGTCTTAGGAGGAAATTTCCTGGGAGAAAAGGTTGCAGCCTTGGGGGAGCTTCTTAGTTTAGAGAAAATGTGAGCAAAAGGCAACATGATACGACGTTTATAAAATTATACGTGGCATGGAGAAAGTGAATGTAGAAAATGTGTCCTGCCTCTCTCATAACACCAGAACTCCCAATGACGCTGAAGGCTGGAAGATTCAGGACAGATGAAATACAGTGGTACCTCGGGTTACATATGCTTCAGGTTACAGACGTTTCAGGTTACAGACTCCACTAACCTAAAAATAGTACCTCAGGTTAAGAACATTGCTTCAGGATGAGAACAGAAACCGTGGTCTGGTGGCGCGGTAGCAGCAGTAGGCCCCATTACCTAAGGTGGTGCTTCAGGTTAAGAACAGTTTCAGGTTAAGAAAGGACCTCCGGAAAGAATTTAGTACTTAACCTGAGGTACCACTGTAAAGTACTTCTTCACACATTTAAACTATGAAACTCACTTCTAAAAGTGGCAGTGATGGCCACCAATTTGAAAGGCTTTGAAGCAGGATTAGAGCCATGGGGAGGCAAACTAAGGCCCGGGGGGCCGGATCCAGCCCAATCGCCTTCTAAATCTGGCCCACCGACGGTCCGGGAATCAGCGTGTTTTTACATGAGTAGAATGTGTCCTTTTATTCAAAATGCATCTCTGCATTTGTGGGGCATAGGAATTCGTTCATTTAATTTTTTTTCAAAATATAGTCCGGCCTCGCACAAGGTCTGAGGGACAGTGGGCCGGCCCCCTGCTGAAAAAGTTTGCTGACCCCTGGATTAGACAAATGCATGCATAAGGCTATCGATTGCCGCTCAACTATGATGGCTTTGCTCTGCCTCCATAGTTGGAGACATTAATACTTCTGAAACTAATGGTGGGAGGGCGGGGGGTCCTGCTTGCAGGTTCCCCACTGGGGCACCTGGTTAGCCACTGAGAGAACAGGAAACTGGACTAGATTGGGCCACTGACCTAACCCACCATAGTTGTTCTTACATTCTTAGCACTGTGGTCTTTATCTAGATCAGTTGGCTGCCCATCAAACATTGTTAGGCTACAACTCCCATCAGCCCCAGTCAGTGCCCAGGGACAATGAGATCTATAGCCCAGCAACATTTGAAGAACCAGTTTCCTCATCCCTGTTTCAAAAGAACAGCTGGAAGCAGAGTTGCCATATTACAACCCAGATATATCCTCTCTCTCTCTTTAGCAGCTCTGCTACCAAAGAAATGGAGCTGTCTCTGAATCAGCTGTTTCTCCCCCCTGGTCCCACCACACACCTACCCAAAAAATAAGTTGCTGTTGCTAGATTTCAGTGGATTTCATTGTAATGAAATGAGAAACGCAATGATATGTTTCCATACTAAGCAGCATATATACAGTACATAGGGCAGTAGCCAAAATCTGCACCTGGGGTTTTTTTTTCATGTCTTGCAGCAGGGGTTGCCAAGGTGGTGCCCTCCAGCTGTTTTGGACTACAACCCTTTATCAGCCTCTGCCAGCATGATCAGTGGGCAAGGATGATGGGGGGGTTTTCGTCTGTGGCACATGTTGGCTACCTCTTCCCTAGGAAGTGATCTGAATTAGCCTATTTATTTTACTTTCATTTGGGTAAACCAAGTTAAACAGTATGGAAACCACCAGGCTTGCCTAATATTGAATTTGCCATTAGTGTACTTTCCTAATGAACTTATGAAAGAGAAAATAAATGGTCGTTCTTGACAACTATTCTGAAAGAAAAAGTGGAAGGCGTTTAAGGAAACTGGTGTGGCTGCGTAAGGAACTTACAGATGAGCTGAGGTGTAAGAGAAATGGAAGTAATGAGAAATCAAGAGGTTGTCAACAGTTGCAGGGAGAAGGTCATGTGCCCTTCCTGCTTCCTAACCCATAAAGCCAATTTCTCACCTGCTTCTCTCTCTGAACCTCTGCCCCCACCCCCAGCCACCACTGCAAGATAACCCCTTAAATTTGTCTTCCAGAGGCTGGGACAACCAGAGTCTGATTTGAATCAAACTTCACCTGGGCTTTGGCCATAAGAATCGGCTTTCCCATAGCAAAGCCCAGCCCCGGAATGTGGGGGAAGCAGTGCTTTAGAGCTCATGCAGAGTGCTTCCCCACAACCACAAGGGGAAAGGCAGTCTAAACCACAGGGGGTGAGATGAGACAGCATTTGAAGTGCAGATGGCTGGAGGAACGTGAGTCATGACGGAAACTAGGCTGTAAAGCATTTCATCTTCAAGTGGTGTTATGTCCAGGTCTTTCCCAAGTTAGATCTGACGTTTTATAAACCCACACCTCACTTTCCAGATGCAGTGTCTGTAAAAAAGCCACTTCCTTTCCTCTTCAGAAAGGCACTAGTGTTCTTGATCATGACCTGCTCACCCTTCCCTCTAGTTATTAATAGTGTAAAGTACGAAGATGCCATTCAATCAATCCTGAGCCTTGAAATCAGTGGAATTAAGTAAACTGAGCGCTATCTCAGCCCTTCTTTCCCTCACCCCCCAGAAATCTGGAGGGAAATCATTTTAGCCTACTTTAAAGGGTTGTTGTTAAGGGTTCGAGCATTGGACGCGGACCAGGGATGGCCAGGTTCAAATCCCCCCACTCAGTCACAAAGCTCACAGGTGGGAAGGGTTACCTTGAGCTCAGTCACTATCTCTCAGCCTATCAGGGTTGTTGTGAAAATAGAAGTGGGAAGAGGAGACCTACCTGAGAAACTTGTAGGCTGGGTGGGACAAAGACAGGAAGGCAAGAGTGTGAGTATGTGTGTGAGAGAGATGAAGTACTTTTTTTGGAGTGAGGGAAAACTGCGCAAATCTCCCTAAGCATTCCTATTAAAACACTATGTAAACTATCAGCTCCCACTTCATCCCATTGCTCAGTACAATCCCGTATTCCAGACCCCCAACTGGACCCCACCCCTCCAGGCTCTCCCTCATGTATACACAAAAGACCCCTTCAGCTCCTCTGTCCCAAGAGCTTCAGGCCCAAACATCTTTGGGATCTAGGTGTCCCAAATACCATAACCATAGTCCGAGCTTCAGTCTTCCCTACAAGACCCCCACCCCACCCTGCCCACTCCTAGGGACTGATGTCCCTTTGCCCCCCCCATAAAATATTTGAGGGGTCCACCCACCCCCCAAGTTGATGGGCATTGCTGCCATTGAAATGGTGTGTGTGTGTGTGTGTGTGTGTGTGTGTGTGTGCTGTGTCTTGTTATCGATTATATGTGGTGGGGCTTGCTTGCCACCCCCACGCCAAAATTTTATTCAAGTTGGCACCCCAGCACCCACCACCACAGACAGTGGGGGCATCACTAGAATCCACAGCCCTGAATGCCAGGAGAGGAAGGAAGGAAAAATCTGGAAAGACCCCCAAAAGTGGATTGGGAGGAGTGGAGGGAGAAAGGGGGATGCAACGCAACCTCCAGTTGACCGCTAGGAGACACGAGGCTGGCAGATCAGGGACTCCCCTGCTTCGTTGTTACCCGTCTTGAACGAGCCCCTCAGCTTATTTCGACAATATGGGACGGGGATGGGATAACACTAAAACCGCCCTACCTTTCGGGGCCGTCGCTAAGAGATTAGGACCCTGGGGAGGGGGGGTGAGAGAGAGAAAAAATGAAAAGCCCTACACATAAAGATGCGAGGTAGAAAACGCGGCATAGTATTAAATTTCTGGCTTCAGAGGGGGGCAGGGTGCTGAAAAGATGGAGCATCGCGCCCCACCTCGCCTGACCCTTTGCAAAGCAACCGATCCAAGGAGAGCCACGTGCAGGCGCGATCTCCCCGGTTTTACTCCATAATCCACATATTATATATATTGCAGTATATATATGTGTGTGTGTGTGCATATATGTGTATTCAGTAATACCACATATAGCGCAACCGGGATCATTCTGACCTTTCATCTCCGCTTCTCTCCATGTCGGATTCTGGCTGATGGGAGCTTCGGTGCTTTCCTCGTCCGGACCCTACGCTCTTTCTTCTCCCGGGAGAACTGCGCTTCTCCCTGCAGGAGGCGGCCGTTTTACCGGCCTCCGGGGAGAGCGACGGTGTCGTCACGGGCACGCCGGCCAATGGGACGCCAGCCTCTGCCGAGAGCCCGCCCGCTCGCGCGCCCGCCGGCCGGCCGGCCACAAAAGTTGCCCCTGGCAACGCCGGGGCTCCGGCGCCCGTCACGGCCCTGGACCGCTCTCGCCCTGCCCACCCGAGGAGGCAGCATCAGCACTAGCATCCTCCTCCCCAGCCGGCTTCCCCTCCAGGACGGAGGAGGAGGAGGAAGGGGCAGGCGGGGCGAAGGCGGCTCCTGGGGCCCCCGGGGGTATTGGGGGGGGGCGATGGGAGACCAGGGGGGAGAGGAGGAAGCGGCTTCCACCGACAAAGCTCTTCGTGCCACGAGGGTGGAGGGTGCTGAATGCACACAAAGCGGAAGGAATACACGCGTACACCTGACCCTGAACGTTAGGAGGACTCGTCGCGGGGGAATTCCCTGGCAACGTGTTTCATTCCCCTTGCTAGGTTGTTGTGGTTGTTAGTACTGTAACCAGCGCTTTCTTCTTTAAAAAAATGTTTAGGGGGTACTCTCATTTTGACTCAAGAAAATCACCATTTTATAGTTCAAATCAGGGAAAATAAAAATAGTAAATGGACAAAAGTACAAAGATTCAGAAAATGTTTAGGGGTACGCATACCCCTGTGTCGTCGTCGTCCCTCCCAGAAAAAAGCACTGGTTATTATTATTATTCAGCTATCTTTTCTCTTGTTCCATGCTTGGGTTCAGCTTAGGTGCCCAAATATCTTGGGCCTGCCCTGCTAGTACCCATTGATAGCTCTCTCCTCCATTTATGTCCCAGCTTTCCTCCAAGAAGATCAAGGTGGCATTCATGGTTCTTCCTCTCTCTCATTTTATTATCCTCACGACAATCCTGTGAGGTACGTTAGGTTAACTGACTGTTCCAAGGTCACCCAGCGACCTTCATGGCAGAACAAGAATTTGAATCGTCTCCCAGACGGTGATTTTAGTTGTGTGTGTGGTTTGTGTGTGTGTGAACTTTCTTTTTGCTGTCCAAGTTATTATATTGTGCTTGGCTGTGGTTTTCAGTAATCATATTTCATTGTTTGTGTAAACTGTACAGACAATTTGGTTGGATGCGTGGTATACATAAAAGAATATTATTACTATTTATTATACAAACTGGAGGAATAATAGATGTTAACAACAGTTTGGATCCACCCAGACTTCATATTCCTCAGACTTCAAACAAACTTTCTGTTGCTATTTTCCTCCTGTTTCTCTTCTGTTCTATCACATCCAAACCTTCCATCACTTAAAAATTTCCACTCAGATTTCATTAAGATCAAAAGCGCTGATAATTTGTGTATACAAATATTTTCAAGTCGCCCATGGAGGCTGGAACCTTGGCAAACTTCCAGCCTTGGTTTTCTTGAAATGGATAGATATTTCTCCATCCTCTTAGGAATGTATATACGAAAAAACCAATTTGTACATGTCCCTTTTCCATTTTGATACTCAAAACTAAAACATTTCTAGTAACCCTCTTTTCATTTGTAACGTGTTCAGCCTAATCACTGAGATGTTTGTGGCTCTTATTCATACTTAGTTTCTGTTTCCTGTGGCAGAAAAATAACTGGAGGTTTCTGGACTTGGGGGAAATACAGTTTTATTTACACAAACCCACACACATATATACAAGCTGAGCCTAAGCTTGGGGTTCACTAACTTTATATACTACAAAATATAACTAAAACTACAAGTACTGATTAGTTTAACACATTAATGAAAATTTCACAATGTTCCCAACAAGATGTGCAGATTTGTATTTACTTGCACTTTATTTACACCAGCATGTGATAAAAACACTCAGTTTTGTAAGACTGTGCCCTCTCTCTTTTGGTCAATTTGACCATGCAAACTATATCCCGTGCTATAGTTGGGCAGATGTCCAGTGTTGGAGTCTTTATACGCCCCTCATTTATAACATGCACCTGCTGGGTGACCTTGGGCTAGTCACACTTCTCTGAAGTCTCTCAGCCCCACTCACCTCACAGAGTGTTTGTTGTGGGGGAGGAAGGAAAAGGAGATTGTTAGCCACTTTGAGACTCCTTCGGGTAGTGATAAAGTGGGATATCAAATCCAAACTCTTCTTCTTCTTCTTCTCCTCCTCACGGTCCTGTCTTTATGGTATTTTCAGTGCCAGGTGAAACACTTGATATAGTGCTATCCAGAGCATTATAGAAAATTTAAATGGATGCTCAGAGTCTTGGCTGTCCAATTTGAAAGGCCCAGGGTACTGGGCCTCAGCTGCCCTAGGATGCTAGGTGCTTAAAAAATAAAAGTTACAAATAGAGCAGTTGGAGTGAAAGGGTCACCTCTTAGCTCAGCTTTAGGCATGGAGAGTCCATGATGACTAGAACGATGCATGATCCTATTTTCTGTTTTACCTCTGTGTATGTCCAAGAGTATAAGGGACACGGATGGCGCTGTGGTCTAAACCACTGAGCCTCTTGGGCTTGCCGATCAGAAGGTCGGCGATTCGAATCCCCATGATGGGGTGAGCTCCTGTTGCTCGGTCCCATCTCTTGCCAACCTAGCAGTTCGAAAGCATGCCAGTGCAAGTAGATAAATAGGCACTACTCCAGCAGGAAGGTAAACGGCGTTTCCATGCGCTGCTCTGGTTTCGGTGTTGCATTGCGCTAGAAGCGGCTTAGTCATACTGGCCACATGACCCAGAAAAACTGTCTGCGGACAGACGCTGGCTCCCTTGGCCTGTAAAGCAAACTGAGACCCCAAAGTCGTCTGCGACTGGACTTAACTGTCAGGGGTCCTTTACCTTTATGTCCAGAGTAGAGAATTACAGGAGGCAATCCGACAGGCTGTGTGTGTCCCCACCCCCTTCATAACTAGGAACAGTTTCCTGGGAAGCAAATTAGTTTAAACACTTCATGAACCTCTGACAGCACAATGAAAAGTTAACCCTCCTACTGCCCCGGACAAGGCCTGTTCCACGTGCATTCAGTTTCTGCCTTCCTCTTTGTACTGTACTTTGCTGCATGTAATTAGATGAGAAGATAGCCTGAAGGCTTCAAACAAATTGGTGGCTGATGGGATCATCTGGGCCCATATTAGACCAAAAATTCCCTTCCAAAATCAAAGGCTGGCAGAATCATGTCAGGTGATTCAGTCTTGTAATGAGAATTTGTGGCTTCATCAGGTGTTTGGTTCCTGGAATAGACAGGATATTGGAATGGGATGACTGATCCTGCCCAGCATGGATGACAGTGGCTGTTCCTTCCCTCAGAAGCTATTTGCTAACCTGTGTGCTTGCCACTTCCTTATAGCCCTGCTCAATGAGTCTATACTAAATGCTTTTTTGTTGCACTATAGACTCTGAAGGTCCTCCTTTGGTCAGAGATCCTCCAGCCTCCCTACACCATGGGTCAGAGAACTGGGCTTTCCCTTTGGGAAGCTGAGAAACCCACCCGAGATGACTCTGCTTTGTGTGATATAGAAATGTCTGCTCTCTCCAGACAAGGAGACATAGAGGCGCCTCGAGAAAAAGGTAGGGGGGGGGCAACAGGAATTGCACAGAAGGCCAAAGTGGGGTGAAGAAGGCCCGGGACAGTGGCATGAAGGGAATGAGAGATGGTGAGAGAGAGAGAAGGCAAATAACATCTTGGGAATGCAAGTCTGTATACACACCATACATTTAAAGCACATGACTTTCTGCAAAGAGTCCTAGGAACTGTGGTTAAGGGTGCTGCTCTTTGTGAGGGTAAACTATAGTTCCCAGGATTATTGGGAAGAGTGAGTCATGTACTTTAAATGTGGTTTAAATCTATAGTGTGTATGCAATCTAAGAGGATTGATGGGTATAGTGGGACAAAGCTGGGCAACAGGACTGGGGCTGGCTCTACCTCAGGTGGCAGATGCTGTTGGGTGGCAAACAGCGGAGAGCTATTGGAGGACTGAGCTGTGTGTGCCACGCAGTCTGCTTGCATCTCCTTACACTACCCTGATGTGGTGGGGAATGCTGTCCCATTGGCTGTGTTCCAGTGAGGTGCACCTGCCAGTTCTGTTGGCTTCTGTGGGTGGAATGGGTGGGTGTGCGCACCATTTGTCCTTTGCCTCAGGCAGCAAAATATTTTGGGCCTTTTCCTGCACAGGATTGCCCACTCAAACCTTCTTGGGGCTGTTTCTTATTTTAGAGCCAGTTCTCAAACCGTGGGGCACAGTGCCCCCCGCATGGTGACTTGAGAAGCTTGGAACCAATGGACATATAGGATCACAGCCATTTTGTCCATCATCACACAGCACCAGATTGAGGGTGGCCAGTTCCCCCATACAGGGTGCTGAGCCAAGGGGGCAGAAAACTGAGAAGATCCATAATTGAGAAGATCCAGCAGAGGAAGAGCTGAGGCAAGATAGCCCACTCCACCTGCTCCATTGGTTCAGTTGAAAGAGCAGTTGCCATTGGGGTCCTCTCATCTCTGAATTGTCTGTTCATGCTGTTCATTGTGAGAGCATCTATGCTTACTTTGTCATCATCTGTGGCCCGGGGATTAATAGCCAATTTTCCTCTCAGTTTCCTCCATCCCTGCTTTACTAAAATCTCTCTGCCGTATCGAACCACCACTTTCCCCCTCTCGGTGTCTCTCATTTCTGGTTCCCGTTTCATGGCTACTGCTGTTGTGCAACAGGCCTTTATTATTGCTCGCGGATTTAAAAGCCGAGAGGGTGTTGCCGTCTGTTCCTTTGACTACATGCGCATTAGTCAAACATCATTGTTTGGGAAAGGGTTATTGTCAACAGTTCACAGCAGACCTCAGCGTATGAGAAGGCAGGCGCCTGCATGTGCATTACGTACACAGGAATTCGAAGCCATGATACATTTCCCTCTCCCACTCTCCCCGCTCTGGGATTTAACTTCCTGGACAGCCTGTGAACCCTGAGGAAGGGCAAATCTAGTTCTCCACACTGATAATTTTAACAAGGTTTCCCTTCCAAAAGAAAACA